TGAGCTCAGAAGAGTTCCTATACAGTGTTGGAGTAGGAATATATGTAATCGCTTCCTCACTGCTGAGCTCAGAAGAGTTTCCTATACAGTGTTGGAGTAGGAATATATGTAATCGCTTTCCTCACCTGCTGAGCTCAGAAGAGTTTCCTATACAGTGTTGGAGTAGGAATATATGTAATCGCTTTCCTCACCTGCTGAGCTCAGAAGAGTTTCCTATACAGTGTTGGAGTAGGAATATATGTAATCGCTTTCCTCACCTGCTGAGCTCAGAAGAGTTTCCTATACAGTGTTGGAGTAGGAATATATGTAATCGCTTTCCTCACCTGCTGAGCTCAGAAGAGTTTCCTATACAGTGTTGGAGTAGGAATATATGTAATCGCTTTCCTCACCTGCTGAGCTCAGAAGAGTTTCCTATACAGTGTTGGAGTAGGAATATATGTAATCGCTTTCCTCACCTGCTGAGCTCAGAAGAGTTTCCTATACAGTGTTGGAGTAGGAATATATGTAATCGCTTTCCTCACCTGCTGAGCTCAGAAGAGTTTCCTATACAGTGTTGGAGTAGGAATATATGTAATCGCTTTCCTCACCTGCTGAGCTCAGGAGAGTTTCCTATACAGTGTTGGAATAGGAATATATGTAATCGCTTTCCTCACCTGTTGAGCTCAGGAATTTCCTCACTAGTAGAAGTTTACACACGAATTCTGATGAAAGTGTACAGAAACCAACAGAGTTTCCAACACATGTAGTTGACCAAGTGCATATTTTCCCACCACTTCAAGTGGTAATACAAAAATTTCATCTCTTTTCCCACGTACATCTCCTCGAGGTAAAGTCGTCCCATCGGACCAGTCTATATTATCATACCAAAAATAGCCGATTTCATTACTGGGCTCAGCGGGGAGGATCTCACCTGGGAGGCGGTGCTCTCCTGAAAATATAACGTTGAGTAGTGAATCTACTATACACAGTCGAGTTTCACCCGTGATATGAACAACACTAGTGAAAACATATTTCACGCTACCTCGAGCGACCAAGCATGCAACTCCAGGAAGATGGATTTTCCCGGCAAGTTCTCCCAAGGCCTTCTTGCCATCACCAAAGCCATGCAATATAACCAATAGCATCACCGCCGCCGTGTCACCAACGGGAGGGACATACAGAGTATCATAGGTTCCACCTTGACGTGCCCAAAATACAGCGGAGCGAAGCAGAAAAAGATTCTCACTTGGAGGTTGGAGTTTGATAGAACTGGACCGGGCTAGAGCGAAAATTCGGGTTTGCAAGGCTGACTGGAGGAGTATGTTTCTACTGAAAATCGCTAGAATTGCTCACCTTCAACGTTTTTTCCCGGGTTAAATCGTCCAATAATTGCCGAGCACGTTTCAATTCGCCATCACCATCCGTGTTCTCCGCAAGACCGAGGAGCGCGGATATCAATCTGTACACCTGAAAAAAAATTGACTTAATTTTCACATTCAATTATTTTTCGGAAAAAAAACAGAAAAAATCAGGAAAAAATCTGAAAAAAATGGAAAAAAACGGGAAAAAACGAGGGAAAAATCGGAGAAAACGGAAAAATCGCTCGAAATTTTCCTCTCAATGCAATATACACATACCAATCAACGCCTTGAAAATTTTCACTAAAATTGTATTCTCTGCAGTAAAGACTTTTCTGATAGTAAAATCGTTGCTACAAAGAGTCCCTTACTATTTACTCAAATGTAGATCCCGAGTGAAACCTCAATTTCAGCGGCAGTGCGTTTCCAATTGGACGCTAAACTCTGCGGCATTTCCTTTCTAGTATAAACTCGGACAAGAACGGAATTGGGTAAATTACAAAATCCAAGGAGGTTTGTCGGGCGCTCTCAGCAATTCGGGTTTCTGGTTGCCTTTGATAGTAACAGCTTCCATCTGTATAACAGTTCGGGTTTCTGGTTGCCTTTGATAGTAACAGCTTCCATCTGTATAACAGTTCGGGTTTCTGGTTGCCTTTGATAGTAACAGCTTCCATCTGTATAACAGTTCGGGTTTCTGGTTGCCTTGTCGGGTTTCGGGTTTACCCTTCAACTTGTTTTCCTTAGATTTTGTATATCACCTAAACAGTGAAATTCGAGGATTTTTTCGCCATAATGATACGATAAAAATAATTTCTAATACTCCGAAAATTTTCCAAAAAATTTCCTTCTCGAACTGAATATTATTTTTCCCTAATTTCCAATGCTCACCGCTTTCTCCCGTTTTTCGCCCAACTCTCCGCTGTTTCCGAGCAGCTCTTCACAAATTCGTATCGTTTCGGGAAATCTTCGCAGTGCGAGCAGACAAGCGGCTGAATTGAGTTTTAACACGATGGAGGTTCTGAAGAGGAATAGTAAAACTTTTAGAGAAATGAAATTAAAATAAATTGTCCGTGAGGAAATTTTCGGGAGAGTTCGTTGCAAGGACATTCTTTGTGTGGAAATAGGATTACACCTTGGGGATGCATTTGGTTTTAAGAAATGACCTTCCCCAGGAGTTGATAACAATG